GTGGAGGGGGCCATCCCGGTGGTGGAGGACTCGCAGCTGTCCAAACACTGCGTCCACCCCGTGGCCGCCCCCGGCAGACCTCTGAATCGGTGGCGCCTGGCTCCCCGATGTAGTGCTTCTGCCAGCCTTGCCCCTACCAGAGAGGGTGCCATCCTGCCCAGGGTCACACAGCCAGCCGAAGGCAGCAAAGCTGGAGCAGAGCCTGGCTGGGAAAGGGAGGGTCTGGCCTGACACCCTGCTTGGCCACCCTTCCCCACCCTGGGGGAAGACAAGGAACAAACGAGTCAATTGTTCTCTTTACACCACCATAGCTAAAGTGCATGGAGGCCCATGTCCCCAGCTCTTAACTGCCGGGCCTCAGATGAGCCTTCCCAGTCTAGGGAAAGGGGGGCCCTGGCTGGCTGTGACCTGTATGGGGAACTTCCAGAAGTTTGAGGAAAAGCCAATTAAAAGATCGATTTATTTAGGTGCAAGACGTTTGAAATCCCCCCATCGGCTTTTCATCCGTGCATTTTCCATGAGCTCCTAGGCATGTATTCAGACATCTGTCTTTTGCACTCACCTAAACTGAACCCAGAATTCTATTTTCCATGAGCCTTCTTGACATGCCTTGGTCTACGTGCCATCTGTGGAAAGGACCTGGTGACTGAAACTTGCTCTTTATTTCAGTGTGTATACATTTGAAAGACAGATAGAGGAGGGAGGGAGAGAAGACATCTCCTATTTGCTGGTTCACTCCCCACATGGCTGCGTGGGACTGGGCTGAGCCAGGCAGAAGCCAGGAGCCCGGATCTCCATCAGGCTCTTCCTCGTGAGTGGCAGCAGGGCTGGGCCGTCTTCTGCTGCTTTCCCAGGCAGTCACACTGGAAGTGGAGTGGCCAGGTCTTTGAGGATGGCTCCCATGGGATGCCGGGGCTCCACTGGCTGCAGCACCTTGCTGCTGGATGTCATGCTGAGTCCAGTTCGTCCCTGTGTGCTGTGTTTGGGGTGGAAGGGTGGGGGTGTGGCACAGAGTGAGTGGTGGAGCCTTGTGCCAAAGCTGTGAGGGAGGTGGAGGGCAGGAGGGCTCAGGGAGTTCAGGCAACCCAGGGCCTTGAGCTTGGTCTGGGGCCATCTCCCCACACCTGGCATGTTGGTCCACCCTTCTCCTCATCAGGCCCTCACCTCCACATGTGCCCGCCTCAGCTGCAAGGGTAGTGGGGAGTCTCCTGCTTACTGCCAGAGCCCCCCCATCCCTTCCCTCCTGGTCCGTCTTCCCTCCCTCCCTCTCCCATGGCTGCCTCCTCCCTCTACCTGTTCCTGACCAAACTCCGCCCAGTTCTACCACCTGGCCCGCGTGTCCGTGGCTTTTCCCCTCTTGGCTTCTCGTATCCTCTGCAGAGTGGGGGCCCATGATAACTCCCCTCCACACACACACCCCGTTCCCTGCCTACTGTGGTCATGCCTGACCCTGGGCCCTCTTCTAGCTGCTCATTCCCAGAAACTCCTGCTCTGAGGGTCTGCGGGGGGTCTTGACCTCATCTAGGGTCAAGTTTTTAGGGAGCTGCAGAGGGCAGACGGCTGGGTAGGGATGCCCTTGAGAGGGTTACAGAGGAGGAAGGAAAGGTGGCAGCTCACTGGGGCCTGCCCATGGCACCTGCCTGTGCTCCCAGCTCCTACCACCTGCACCTCCACGAGCCCTGTGAGTCTCACACATCCCAGTTTGTCCCGTGTCCTGGAGTGATGCCATGACCTTGGCCCTGGCCTGGAAGTGACTCCCTCCCATCCCTCTGCTTCCTGCTGCATGCTCTTCCCCCTTCCACCTGCTGCCCAGCTCTCTGCCAAGAACCACCTGCCAAGAACACCCTCGCTCTGGGGAGAAAGAGCGTGAGCAACTTTGTCCGGCTCCCCTCAGCTCAGCCCTGCACTGTTTAGGAGAGGTGAGTGAGGGGCTGCAGCTCAAGGGTTTGGTTCTACCTGCTGTGGTGTTTGTTAGTAGGTGACAACCCTTCCCCCTCAGACTTCATCATTTCTTAAGCAGGGATATTTTGTCTCACAGGCATACTGCACCTCATGGGGTTGCCTGAGGATTGCATTGCAACAGTAGGGCCTGGGCAGGTGTTTGGCACATCACGTAAGATGCTGTTAGGGATACCCTCTCCCGTATGAGTTCAGGTCTCCTGCTCTGCTTGTGACTTAGCTTCCTGCTAACGCACATGCTGGAAGCCGGCAGGTAAAGGACTCCAGCAGTGGATCCCCACCACCCAGGGGGAGACCTGAGACAGAGTTCCATGAGTCTGGCTTTTAGCCCAGCTCCAACTCTCGTGAGCATCTGAGGAGTGAACTGTGGGAGGAAATCAGTTTCTCTGTGTCACTCTTTGAATAAAAATAAGCAGTAACATTTTTTAAAAATTTATTTTATTTTTACTGGAAAGTCAGAAAGTGAGGGAAGACAGAGAGGAAGATCTTCCATTCATTGATTCACTCCCCAAGTGGCCGCAATTGCTAGAGCTTAGCTGATCCGAAGCCAGGAGCCAGGAACTTCTTCCAGGTCTCCCACACGGGTGCAGGGTCCCAAGGCTTTGGGCCGTCCTGGACTGCTTTCCCAGGCCACAAGCAGGGAGCTGAATGGGAAGTAGGGCCATCGGGATTAGAACTGACACCCATGTGGGATCCTGGCATGTGCAAGGCGAGGACTTTAATCACTAGGCTACCGTGCCAGATCCTGTAACTGAAACTTTTACAAGAACACATTAAGGGTGGTGCCTGGCAGGATTTGGTAGGCCTGTGTAGCCCCACCCACTGAGTCCAGGTGTCAGTCACACCGAGATGAAGCAGGGGTGTGTGCTGAGGGCAGGCAGTGGAGATGGCCCCGTTTGTACACGGCCGGGTCCCAGGACCCAGGCAAGATCCTGCCGTCTGTATTCCACTTCTACAACTATAAAAGAGAGCTTCATGGGGTGAGCCTAGTGGCTGATGGAGAAGATGGCTTGAGATGAGCCAGGCACATGGGCGCCCTGGGGGTGGCAGGTGTTATGGGTATAACCAGCATGCTGAGGCTCAGCTAGGGCAGGAGATGTGTCCAAAGTCACAGCACAGGCCGGTGGTGGAGCTGGGATTTGAGCCTGGAAGCTGGCCTTCGCAGCTCCCTGGACCTTCTTCAGAGTCCTGCCACCATTCTCTGTGAACCTGAGCACCCTTGGCTGTGGCCCCAGACCCAGCTAGCAGCAGGCTGAGTTTCGCTCCCCACAGGGTTCTGATAGCAAAACCCCTCCCCCATCAAGTCCCACCTGCTGCCGGGCGTTGGTGCACAGGGGATGCTGGGTGGCAAGAGCGGAACCTAGAGCAGATACCAAGGAAGGTGTGACATTGTTTGGATGTGAAAAAAGACAGGAGCCCACCCTGTCCCGGGTGTGCTGTGCTCCCCCTCGTTGCATCCTGGGACACAGACTGTCAACCTGCCTGTTTAAAATGACGGTTTGATTGCAGAATTTACAGCTCAGACACCTGCCCCATGTCAGTGTACAAGTCACTGCTTTCTCACAGTTGTGCAACCCTGAGCCTAACCAAAGTCGCATGCCAGTTAACAGGCACCCTCAGTTTCCTGTTCCAAGCTTGGGCAACCCCTAACCCACTCTTTGTGCCGGCACTTGCCCGTTCTGGTTACTGCATATGCGTGGGATCGTGGCATATGATGCAGTGCCTGGTTTCTCACTTAGCGCGAGGTTTCCAAGATTGCTGCATGCTGTAGCTGTGCCTAGAATTCCTCCTTTTTGTTGCTAAAGCATGTTCATCTGCATGGCTCTCCCAGTTGTAGCGGTCACTGCTTGGTTAAGACATGTGGGCTCCCTCTGCTGTGGGGGATTATAATGGCCTCCATGGGCCTATGATGTGTTAGGACACTTGTGTCTGGAGTGGCTGAGCCTGAGTCCCCAGGGCCTGATCTAGCTTCCTGCTAATGCAGACCCTGGGTGGATGGTCCTTGCCACCCATGTGGGAGAGCTGCATTGAGTTCCCAGGGCCTGGTGTCCACCTGGCTCAACAAGTGTTTAAGAAGTCTACCCCGCTGTGTTAGTCACTCTACCTGGCAATTAAGGGGGAAAAAAAATAAAAGTCCCCACAAGATATGGAAGGGATTTCCGGGGAAGCTATAAAGGAGGCCAGAACAGTCTGAAAGGGCAGTTCAGCCATGGAGAGTGACAGTTAAGGACAAGGGGTCTCAGGAGGTGGCAGTGGGATGGGGGGCGCGGGCAAAGCCAGATGCTATTCAGGCGGTAATTTCTGGTCTTGGGAATTGCTTAGGGATCCTACCTAAATTCGGATCTGTTGCTAACCCCTCTTCCCCAGAGGGTGGGCTTGACAGCTCCATGCTCTTCCCTGCAGGAAGCGCTCGGACACCATGTGGGGGCCTCCGACTTGGTTGCTGTTGCTGTTGCTGCTGGGGTGGGGGCCACAGGCAGCCTGTGGCGGCGGGGCAGCTGGCTACGCACCTGTGAAATACGTGCAGCCCATGCAGAAAGGACCTGTGGGGCCGCCCTTCCGCGAAGGCAAGGGCCAGTACCTGGGTGAGTATCCCCTTGACTCCCCTTCCCTGGAGTTCCCAAGCCCCCACCACAGCTCTCCCCATATCCATCCTGCCTTGTGACTGGTCCAGTGAGCACCACTCAGATCCTGGAAGATCTGTGGGCAGATGTGGCTGGCACTGGTGTAGGGCAGGGAAGGTAGGGGAAATGGGAGGGTGCTGGCACTAAGGTGGGCCGCGAGTGCCCCCTGATGGCCATTGCCCTGAGATCTTTCGGGGATGTGCATCATACTAAACTCATGGGGTGGTTATGGGGGTGGGGCAGCCACAACCCCTGAGTGAAGATGCCATGCAGCCCACAAGCCATGGGAGCAGAGTGGCCCAGCCTGAAGAAAACGCCTTTAAGATCAGATAAGGAGCTCTGGGGGGAACTGCTAGACATGTCCTTTGTCCCCTCCGTCCAGGACTCTGACTGTCTGCTTTTCTCTGTCTCCCTCAGAAATGCCTTTGCCGCTGCTGCCAATGGACCTGAAAGGAGAGCCTGGGCCCCCTGGGAAGCCCGGGCCGCGAGGCCCTCCTGGCCCTCCCGGCTTCCCAGGCAAACCAGGCACAGGCAAGCCGGGACTCCACGGGCAGCCTGGCCCTGCTGGACCACCTGGCTTCTCTCGGATGGGCAAGGCAGGCCCCCCGGGGCTCCCTGGCAAGGTTGGACCACCGGGGCAGCCTGGGCTTCGGGGAGAGCCAGGAATACGAGGGGACCAGGGCCTTCGGGGCCCGCCAGGACCCCCTGGCCTCCCTGGGCCTTCAGGCATCACTGTCCCTGGAAAGCCAGGTGCTCAGGGGATGCCAGGGCCCCCAGGATTCCGGGGGGAGCCAGGGCCTCAGGGGGAGCCTGGGCCCCCAGGTGATCGAGGTCTCAAGGGGGATAATGGAGTGGGCCAACCAGGGCTTCCGGGGGCCCCAGGGCAGGGGGGAGCCCCTGGGCCACCTGGCCTCCCGGGTCCAGCAGGCTTGGGCAAACCTGGCATGGATGGACTTCCAGGAGCTCCCGGAGACAAGGGGGAATCTGGGTCCCCTGGAGTTCCAGGCCCCAGAGGGGAGCCAGGAGCTGTGGGTCCTAAGGGTCCCCCAGGGATAGATGGTGTGGGGGTGCCAGGGGCAGCAGGGGTGCCAGGGCCACAGGGCCCAGCAGGTGCCAAAGGGGAGCCAGGTAGCCGGGGCCCCCCTGGCCTGATAGGTCCCACTGGCTATGGGATGCCAGGATTGCCAGGCCCTAAGGGGGACAGGGGCCCAGCGGGGGTCCCAGGGCTCTTGGGAGACAGGGGGGAGCCGGGGGAGGATGGTGAGCCAGGGGAGCAGGGCCCCCAGGGTCTGGGAGGACCCCCTGGGCTTCCTGGATCCGCAGGGCTGCCTGGCCGCCGGGGGCCACCTGGGCCGAAAGGGGAGACAGGGCCTGGTGGGCCCCCAGGAGTTCCTGGTCTGCGGGGTGACCAGGGTCCTAGTGGCCTGGCTGGGAAGCCTGGTCTCCCAGGTGAGAGGGGGCTTCCTGGGGCCCATGGGCCTCCTGGACCAACTGGGCCCAAGGGTGAGCCGGGGTTCACTGGCCGCCCAGGTGGCCCAGGGGCAGCGGGAGCCCTGGGACAGAAGGGAGAGCTGGGGCTCCCCGGGCAGCCTGGCCTGCGGGGCCCCTCGGGAATCCCAGGGCTCCAGGGCCCAGCAGGGCCTATTGGACCCCAAGGCCTGCCAGGTCTCAAGGGTGAGCCTGGCCTGCCGGGACCCCCGGGAGAGGGCAAAGTTGGGGAACCCGGCTCAGTAGGGCCTACAGGGCCCCCTGGGGTCCCTGGCTCCCCAGGACTCACAGGTCCACCTGGACCTCCTGGGCCTCCTGGTCCTCCTGGTGCCCCTGGCACCTTTGATGAGACTGGCATTGCAGGCCTGCACCTGCCTGATGGAGGTGTGGAGGGGGCTGTGCTGGGCAAGGGGGGCAAGCCCCAGTTCGGGCTGGGTGAGCTGTCAGCCCATGCCACGCCAGCCTTCACCGCTGTGCTCACCTCGCCCTTCCCAGCCTCGGGAGCGCCCGTGAAGTTCGACCGGACTCTCTACAATGGCCATAGCGGCTACAACCCAGCCACTGGCATCTTCACCTGCCCCGTGGGTGGCGTCTACTATTTTGCATACCACGTGCATGTCAAGGGCACCAACGTGTGGGTGGCCCTGTACAAGAACAATGTGCCGGCCACATACACCTACGATGAGTATAAGAAGGGCTACCTGGACCAGGCGTCTGGCGGGGCAGTGCTGCAGCTACGGCCCAACGATCAGGTCTGGGTGCAGATGCCCTCGGATCAGGCCAACGGTCTCTACTCCACTGAGTACATCCACTCCTCCTTCTCGGGCTTCCTGCTGTGTCCCACATAACCCGTGGTGGACCCTGCCGCCCTGGCCTCCGCCTTCTTAGTGGTAGAGTGACCTTTTCAGTTACAGACAAGCTCCATTTAAAGGAAGAGGCCAAGGCTTGTGACCGTGGCCTTGGCCCGGGGTGACTAACTGGCTGAGACTGTGTGTGGAAGGGGCTAGCCTGAATTCCTCCCTGCCTTGGCCTCCCACCCTCAAATGATTGTGTAGTGTCAGGGTTGAACCCTGGGTCCCACCCTGCCTAGTCAGTCCTGGACTTGTCTTGGCTGTGGTGGAGCTCAGGGGGTGTTAAGCTCCCCACCCCAGCCACCATGGGAGACAATCCTTTCTGCTGGCCCTCAGGCAACCTGCTCAGGCTATAGGATGTGGCCTCCCTTGTGGCCCTTGGCTGGGCTCCCTGGTTCCTACCGCCTACAATGAATGATAGGTTCCCTGCACTTTTGTTGTTGTTCCCTCCAGGGGGCAGGGTGTGAACAGGACAGTGCAGGTGGCCAGTGGGGACATTGCCAGGACCGCAGTGGCCCCAGGGGTGTTACAGTGGCATCAGGCCAATCCACAGCAGGTACAGCCGGGTACCTTCTCTGCAGGATCCTGGAAAGGACGAGCCCTTTTCACTGCTCCAGCCATGGCCACAGGGAAGGCGGTTCAGGAGGAGCTGGGCCCGGGCATTTATGCCCATGTCCCTTCCCCAGCTTGGGCTCTGCCTTGGCATGAGCACAGAGATCTGCAGGGGGATGCTCCCGGTCAGAGTGTGAGCTCTGGGAAGCAGCTGGAGATGCCCAAAGCATGGCCCGAGGTGAGACTGTCCATCCACAGACCTCACTGCTGCTTCATTTTTCTTCCCCTGCCAGGCATGCTGCCCCATGTGGACGCTGCCCTGGGCAGAGAGGTACTTGTCTGGCTCTGTGACCAGGGAGCACACGAGCCCTAGGATGGAGAAGACTCTGCTTGCCTTTCCCTAATAAGAACCACATGGTGTGTACTTGTGTCTACCAGCCGGGCTAGTCTGGGGGCTTCCTCTCTTTCACCCTCTGGTTCCAATTTCCTGTTCTAAGCAGGATTAGGACCCCAGCTGACGCCAGCAGCAGCCCCCTGCAGCAGTGGGCTCTGGGTCCTTCTGCCAGGTCACAGCCCTTCTGCAAGAACCTTAGGAGAGCCCAGGCACTGGACCCCTCTTCCAAGCTGGGACTGGGACAGGGGCAGGGATGAAGGACAGCTTCCCAGGGGCTCAAGGCTTTTCCCCAGCCCTCCTTGCTGGTAGGCGATCTGGGTGCATTGCTGTGATTGTGGCCAACTCCTCAGTGCCCGTGCTGCAAAGGGAGGCTGGCTGCTGATGGGTGCCCAGCTGAGCTGTGGTCCCCTGAGGCTACGTGCCAGTGCTCCTCTCATGCCCAAGACTTCTCCAGACAAAGGACACCATTTCAACAGTTTCACTCTGTTGAGGAAAAAGCCCAGATTTGCCAGTGATGCCTGAGGGACAGCCTCCAGCTGGGGCCCAGCGTGCATTTCCTTTTCCTTATTGCCTGGGAAAAGCAGCTGAAGGCTCCAGCTACACCTGATGGGGCACCTTTGCTCAGCCACCACCTTTCCGGGTCAAAGCCACCACAGCCCCATGTCAGAGAAGAATCTGGATGGGCAGAAATTAACTGCCTCTTGATGGGACACCCCACCCCCACCCCCAAACAAGACAGAACAAAACAGGAGCCGAGCTTGACTCCCGGAGCCCTGAGGAAGGGTGGCTGGCATTTCTGAGATGTTTCTGGGATTTGAGCTGCAGGTGTTCACTTAACGGACTGGCTTGGACAAACAGTGTCAGGTGGGAACTATGAGAACTGCATTACTTTGTGCATTTTTATACTCTAGTTCCTAATTTCTTTTTTAAAGGCTAAAGTTCAAATGTTTTCCACTAGTGATTGGTAGAGGAAGCTTCGTTCTCCACATACTTCTGTGTCACGCAAGATTTGGGGAAAAAAATGCACTTGGAAATCAAAGGAAACAGGACTTCTGAAAAGAAAAACAATATGACTGTATTGACGCAACTTCAATAAAACCTGTTGTACAAAAGGGTGCTGTGCTGGGTCTGGCGTAGGTGCAGAGGCAGGTCAGCCTCGGGCCATTGTCCCAAGAGCCCTCTGGGGGTGGCTCAAGTACCAGTACCCCTGCCGGGGGTGTCACATTCCTCACCAACTCCCCAGCCAGCCCAGGGCTCTGCCACCCCCACCTTAGAAATGTCTCATGCTCCTTGGCTGCCTGGGCTCTGCAGCAAGCAGGCACCATTGGGCACACTGGGAGCTCCAAGGCCTGCACTGGTTGGAGCAAGGGGAGAGGAACAGGACTGAGTTTTGCTGGAACATTCCTGCAGGATCTTGGGGGCAGTGGAGCATGACAGCTGGCTCAGGCCTGAGGGCCAAGTTTCAACATCTGAGATGAATTATGAATGAAATTGTGCGTTCTTACTCCCGAGGGTGGGGCTGTTGACTGGCCCCACTCTGCCAGGGCTGGGGGAGCCGTCCCAGGCGGACCCACCAATCAGCTCACCAGCTATCATGCTCAGCAGCGAGGCCTGGCCTTGGGGATTGGTTAGTGGACCTGAACGACCCCACCCCAGCCGCTGGGAACCCTCAGGGCAGCCGCAGAGCTGGGCACACTAGGCTCCCTGGCAAAACCTCCAGACACAGAACATCCTTGCAGCAGAGGGAGGCAGCCCTTCCTCTTCCTTCTCTTTTCTTCAAAGTGAGTGCTGTCCCAGGGCAGGCCCTTTGCTTGCGTCCTGAGACACAATGGGAGGCACCAGAGGGGCTGCCCATCTGTTGTAAGAAGGGTGGCCTCCTACTCGGTTCCTATTCTGACCCTGCCAGAGCTGGGTCCTGCTTGGGGACAACCTGGCTTGGTCCTGCCCTCTGCCTTGGCATAGCTGCCCAGGCTCACTGGAGTGATCTTCAGCAGGAAGTGACATGGCATGCCTGCCAGGGCCTTCTTGACTGAAGGATGCAGCCAGTGGGAAGGAGCGCAGGATTTGGCTCTCTACCCTGGGGGCCCAGTGCAGATGGTGCCACTAGGCTCCAGAGGTCAGGCTGCTGTGGTGGGAGTGGGGAGGCATTCAGGACAGAAGAGAACCATAGCAAATAAGGACAGGATTTGCTGGGGCCTGTTTATTGCTGTGATTTGCACCAGAGGCTGTTAGCCAAGCCCAGGATGGCCAAGGGTCAGGCATGGACTTGATGGCTGGACATGGTACCCAGCCTTTGATCCAACCTACTGCTCAGCAACTGACCCCAGCAAGAACAGGCTTCTGGCAAGTTTGTAACAATCCAGCTTGGAGAACTGATGTCACTGCACCTCCCCAAATTCCATGTCCTGGATGCAAAAGGAAAATGGCCTCAGTAATTCCCTCAAATAAGACTTGCCTGGCGCTTCCCATGTCTGAGGAGCTGGTGGCCCAGGCCTCTGCTGAGGGTTCCAGGAAGTGTCCCAGCACATACTCGGCCAGCGCAGCCAGGCCTTCAGGACCTCAGGACTTTCGAGGCGGGAGTTGGTCCCAGGGGACACGGCAGAATCCAGCAGCTGTGGCATTCACAGACTCTTCTGGAAGACCCGGTGCAGGCTCTGGGCCAGGACGTCTGTCTCCTGGTAGCCCTCGCAGCTCTGCTGCCAGCTCTCTGGCACCTGATCCATCCCATAATAGGCCCCGGCAATGGCCCCAGCCATGGTGGCAATGGTGTCTGTGTCCCCACCGAGTGAGATGGAGTAGATCAGAGTTCTCTGGAGACTGTTGAAAGCAGGCGGGATCTCGGGGTCAGGCTCCATGCAGCGCAGGAAGCAGTAGATGGCGGTGGGCACGGATTCAAAAGCGGCAATGCCATTGCCTGCAGGAAGCCATGGGTTTAACTTGCCCCACACCCCTGGTTTCCTCCCATTTGCTCAGCTGAAAGCAGGGGTGCAAGTTAGACCACAGACCTGGACTCTGATTGGAACGCCTGACCCCACCATGGTCAGGGCTGTGCGACTGGGCAAGCTACCTCATCACGGGGATTTCTATTTCTAGGTTCAATTCCTCAATGTAGACAGCCCCCAGAGGGGCTGCTGAGAGGATAGAGTGAGACTGTGGGGGATGGTCAGAGTGCCCACTGCCAGCCCTGGCATAAACACTGCAGGCCAGCTGCTGCTGCTCCCTGCCAAGGATGCCATGGAGCCTGGCAGCCAGACAGAGGTATGATGGCAGGGATGCCATGCGCTCACACCCTCAGCGCCCCCAAGGCCTGAGGCCACCCTAAAGGAAAACAGTGTTAGGGGATAAGCCTTGGGCAGGGTACACCCACCTAGTTCAGATACCACCTCCTCTCTGGTCACCGAGTCCTGGCCCAGCAGCTCTCCAATTTTCTTCAGTCGGCTGGAGAATGGCCGTTCCTCCATGCCCAGCCTAGGGGGAGGGGGAGGCAGGGTCAGGGAAGACAGCCTGCAGGTTCCTGCCAGGGAACCAGGGGCTGGCGGGGGCGTTAGGTAAGAGCAGGTCATCTTGTTCTCTGCTACCCCGAGAGGCTCCAAACCCACTCAAGGGGCTCCCTGCCCTCCCCAGCCCCTATCAGCCCCACCTCCAGCCCCGACTTACTCCCTGGCATCCAGGACAGCCTGGGCATCCCCTTCCAGCCCCTCCATGTGGCCCAGGAGTTGCTCGAGGAAGTGCTCCCTGGAGAACTCCCCCTGCAGAGCCAGGTGCACGGCCAGGGCCTGGAGGATGGCCCCATTGTAACCCAGGGAGGAGGCGTGGGTCAGCTGGGCCGAGAGCCGGGCAAACTAGGGAGAAGAAGAGGTGCTGTCCCAGGGCCCCCGTGGCAGCAGAGCACGCGGAACCCTGAGGGCGGCCCGCCCCGGGGTACCTTCTGCACATCCTGGGTGTTGCTATAGGCCAGGGGAATGCCAGCTACCCGCATGGCACCCCCATTGCCATAGGAGCCCTTCCCATTAAACTGGGCACGGGCAGGCTCATAGACATCACGACACTTGGGGTTCAGGAGTTTCTTAAAGACGGTGATGACGCCAGCCCCATAGCCCCGGTCAGGGTCTTTCTTGTACTCTTCAGCAAACCTAGGGGAGAGAAGAAAGCCACAACTGGGGTTTAAGATTCCCCTCGGGGCCAGCGCTGCAGCACAGCCAGTTAAGCTGCCGTTTGCAGCACCGGCATCCCATGTGAGAGCTGGTTTGGTCCTGACTGTTCCACCTCTCTCATTTAGCTTCCTGCTCATGTTACCTGGGAAGGCAGCAGAAGATGGCTCAAGTGCACAACCCCTGTCATCCATGTGGGAGACCTGGAAAAAGTCCCAGGGTCCTGGCATTGGTCTTACCCAGCCCATTTCAACCACTTGGGGAGTGAATCAGTAAATAGAAAATCTCTACCTGTAATTCTGCTTTTCATGTAAATAAGAAATCTGTTTAAAAGGAGGAAGCTATTCCTCATGATTACAAGAGAAATCTGATTGGTTTGCAAAAAGAGGCAGTAGGGGGACCTGAGGAATTGATGCCAGAAGTACTGATTTTCTTAAAAAAAAAAAAATCAAAACAAACAAACAAACAAACAAAACACGTTATTTGAAAGGCAGAGTTACACAGAGAGGGAGAGGCATAGAGACCCTCCGTCAGTTGGTTCACTCCCCAGCTGGCTACGATGGCTGGGGCTGGGCCAGGCTGAGGCCAGGAGCTTCATCCAGGTCTCCCACAAGCACGTGGGCCATCCTCTGTTGCTTTCCCAGGTGCGTTAGTGGGCAGCTGGATGGAAACAGAGCAGCTGGGACTCAATCCGGTGCCCACACGGGACACGTGTTTTAGGAGGCGGCTGTGGCACACATCAGTGGCAATGGTGGCACTGTTGTTTTAGCTTGGGAGGCTGGGTCAGTCTGAGGAACGGAGGCCTGCTGGGCTGGGGGTGGTGTCCTAGTCATGCAGACATCCCTCTAGCCAAGGGGGCTCTGCCCACCTGCTGTTCCCCAGCCCCTCACCTGTGAGCCATGTCCACCTCGTCGAAGGCCTCCTTGGCCAGCAGGGACTGTACCAGCGCCCTGGCCATGGCCGTGTCATCTGTGTAGTACAAGGCTTCTGTGGACAGAGGATGGGTGAGGGCGAGCACAGGGCTCTGGGATAAAGCCCCCCTGCTGCTTGCTGCCTCTTAGCATCATGTCCTTCAGTACCCTGGGGCAGTGGGACGCCAAGCTCCTCCAGTTAACCAGCCCTGAGACTCGCAAACGTTCACCAACTGCCGTGTCTTGCTGGCTCCCGCATAAAGACCTCCCACCCTCTCCAGGGCTGGCAATGCCATGGCTCCAGCCCACAGGGCACCACCCTCCCAATCATATCCACACCTCTCAGCCAGCATAGATGAACAGCCAGGGAATTTTCTGGAAGACAGCAGGCACTTGGCACAGTGCTAAGATGGCACTCAGGATGCCTGATCAAGGCTGGGCTCCCTTCTGTCTCCAGCTTCCCCTGGGTGGCAGCACGTGATGGTTCAGGTCCTTGGTCCCTACCACGTTTGTGGGACACCAGGGTTTAGTTCCTGGCTCCTGGGATTGGCACTTGGGAGAGTAAACCAGCAGGTGGAAGATCTCTCTCTCAACTTGAAAACAAAATTCCTCCCTTGAGCAGGTCACTTCCCCCCCCCACCCCACTCTCCTCTCAATGGCCATCTGCTGCCCATACACCCTCAGCACCCATCTCAGAGCAGTCCCTCCAGGACTGGCCCCTACTCTGCATTTCCTTTTCCTCTGTCGGCCTGTGCATGCTGCCCTGGCACTGCCAGGAGCATCATGGATTGTGACTTTTCACGTGGAGGAAGGCACGGTTATGGAAAAGGGTGCAGAACCCTCCACAGAGCCCCCCTCTCCCCACCCCTACTGCACCCCACTTGGTACATCCCAGCTCCAAAGCCCACTTTCTCCTTTCTTTTCTTAGCTGGCCCCATCCACAGCTACACTCTCACTCGAGGGCAGTTATGTCTACTGACATGATTTCTTTCTGTGTAGGCCATTTAAGCAGACAAACACACACACGTTTATTTATTTGAAAGGTAGAGTTAAAGAGAGAGGGCCAGACAGAGGGAGAGAGATCTTCCAGGGGCAAGTTCATGTCCCACACAGCTGCAGTGGCCAGGACTGGGCCTGGCAGAAACTCAGGCGTCTGGACTCCACCCACCATCTCCTACACCGGTAGCAGAGACCCAAACACTTGGGCCTTCTTCGGTTGCTTCCCCAGGTGTATCAGCAGGGAACTGGACCAGAACAGGCCCCTTTGCGTGGGCCCATTACAAGTTGGCTTTTCTATCACATCGAAAGGGTTCTAAAAACACTGTCCAGCCATAACACATTCGTTCATCTTAGCATGAAAGCCAGAAATTTTAAAGATTCCCCATTATGCCTCTGGCCTCCACCACAGCAATCGCTGCTCATCGCCCCTTCGCTTTCAGGCCAAACCATTCCGTATGCTCATTTTCCATGTCCCCCTCTGGGCTGACAACGTCGCTCCAGGAGCCGACACTGACTTCTCCCCAGGACTAAGGGTGCGATCCTTCTACGAAGGACATTCTTGCTGACCTCCCGGGCAGAGCAGGGCAGGCACAGCGTGGACAGGTGCCGGGTGCCACACCTTAGGGACGCAGGCTCAGCGCTGAGGAGGAAGGACCCTCCCCGCTGTGGGCAGGGCGCGTGAACCGGCTCGGGGTGGACACCACGTCCCGATCTGCGGCCCGCACGGCGGAGGACGCTGTCGCGGAGACCCGGGAAGGCGGAGCTCGGACGTGGCTCGCCCGACGCCCTCCCCGACTGCCGCGGCGTCTCCGCCCGACACTGTCTCCGACAGGCGCGGCGGCCCCGCGTCCTTCCCTCCGTCCCTCCCTCCGTGTCCGCGCAGTGTCCCCGCGTCCACCACGTGCGCCGGCCCCGCCCACCTGTCCGCGCACTGCCCGGCGCGTCCGGGTCCGGCTCCAGGCTCTGGACGTGACGCAGCACTGACGTCAGGTGGACGGTGTCGTGCGCCTCGTAGACAGCGCCCACGCAGTCCCCGAGCAGCGCTCCAGCCAGACAGCCTCGGAAGCGCGAGAGAGAGCGGGCCGGGCCGGCCCCACCGCAGCCAGCCGCCATTGCCGCCGCCGTTCGCGCGCTGGACAACCCTCCACTTCCGGTGTCGCCGCCGGCGCTGCTGCTTTCCCGGGGTTCTGGCGGCGCTCCCCGGCCCACAGCGCCACCCAGCGGCTTGGAGTCGCGGCGACCCGCAGCCGGGGTCCGCCGCTGCTTCGCTTCTGCTTCTCTGTCCTCGCCAACTGGCTGGACACTCTTAGGTTCCCGACGCGAGTAGTAGGCACTGAGCCAGACCCCGCGGGGTCACTCAGGCCACATGCTTTGGACATACAATTCAGAATCGGCAGCCCTAGCTCAGGCTTGGGCCATGCTCCCCTCTCCTCCCTCTTCTCTCCCTCAAGTGCCATCCTGGGCACCAGAGGGGCAGAGCTAAAGCTACCTAGAGGCTGGCTCCCTGGCGGGGGTAGCAATAGGAAGGAACTGGATCTGGAACACATAGTGTGGGAAGACGATGTGTACCCAGCACCCCCATCACATGCAGGAGGGTGTGGACTCGCAGTGGGTGTGGGAAGGGTAACAGAACAATCTGGTCTGGAAACAGCAGTCTTTATTAAATTCATCCTCTGCCCCGACCTCCCTGTCTCGCCTAGCCTTCCCATCCTCCCTCGTCCCTGGAAGCTAGGCCAGCTCCAGCTGGCATCTTTTAAGCGGACTTAGAGTGCGGTTTGTGGTCCGGGTGAAGGTGTCCACCTCGGGCACAAACTTCTCGGCCGGCACAGTCAGCTTGCGTCGCGTGTCCAGGCACTTGGTGTCCAGCAGCATAGAGTTGGCCTTGCAAGTGATGTCAGCCTGCAGCCGGGCCAGGTGCTTGAATAGGGCATCCAGAGCATCCCTACAGAGGGGGGCATTTCAGCCCAGCATTCCTGCATGAGCCTGGGAGGGTCCAGGTGAACCCCTCCCCTCCTTAGCCCGTAGGCAGGACCACAGCCCAAGAGAGCCAGGAGGCTCCCCCGGTGGTGGTGTGTCCCCAAACGTACTGTGCCTGTGCCAGCTTCTGCTTCAGGGCGGCGATGGTCGCCTCCAATTGGTGAACCTCGTCTGTGAGGCCATACTGGGCCTGCAGGCCAAGAGGCAGGTGTGTGTGTGAATTCCAGGCCAGCTGTGCTGTCTTGCAGCCTGTGGTTGCTGCCCCTGGCCAGTCCCCTTGTCCTCCTCCCCTGGGTCTGTACTGGGAGGTAGTACTGAAGAACTATGTCCCCGTCCCTGAAGCCCCCAGCACCTGGTCCCGGCAGAGCTCCACGTTGGGCCGGTAGGTTCTGGCCTCCAGCCGGGTGTGGGCCAGCTTGAGGTTCAGCAGCTTCCTGCGCAGATCCTCCTCCAAGTGCCGGATGTCCGCCTGCAGCTCAGTGATCTCCTCCAGGGTCTGCCGGGGACAGGGTGGCCTCTGCCGCTGGACTGGCCAGGGTGACCCCAGCCCAGGGCTTCTCACTGCCAGGCCTCTGCCCCCTCCCCCCCTCCCCCCAAAGCCCAGGAGGCTCACATTCTTCTCCTGCCATCTGAGTTCACTGTACACTCTCTCCATCTCGCGCAGCCGCTTCCTGAAGGTGAATTCTGTTGCTACCCTCTGGGCTTCGAGTTCATTGTTGGTCTGACGGATCCAGGAGAAGGCAGGGAGAGGGGAGGAGGATCCCTCAGCACAGGGCCATCTTGAAGGTGTGGGAAAAGGGTGCTACTTGCTTCATAGGGGTCAAAGGCTGCCCCCAGCTGTGCGGGAGCAGGTGGGGCAGGTGGGCAGCAGATGGAGCAGGTGGGCACAGGTGGGGCGGGCAGCCTGGTTACCTCAGCAATCGTTAAGACGATGGCCTCCCTCAGCTCTGTGGCTGCCTTCATCTCAGCCTCCGCTCGGTCCTTGTTGAACTGGCTGAACTCATCCCACTCCTGCAGTGTGGTGGAGCTGTGGTGGCAGGAAATACTAAGGCGGGTGGGGTCTAAAGTCCCTCTTCCCGGTTCTTGCCTCTTAGAAAAGCAAGATCCCAGCACAAATACGACCGACAGCTCATTAAGAGGGCGAGGACGTCTCAGACACCTGTGGGCTGTGGTCAGGAACGGGGTGGCCTGGCACACGGGCGAGGCCATGCCGCAGGCCAGGCTTCTCAGGAGTTTGGAAAGGAGCGTGTTTGAGGGGAAGTCCCGGGTGAGGGGAGACATCTGACTGACTGGTGGGTCAAAGGAGCTCGAAGGACCCTAACCTAGCCACCTGCCCTGTAGGAGACTGATGGAAATTGCCTTCTTACTCCTTAGGGACACGGGTTGGGTTGATCTTCAGAGAGATGTTTGGAGAATTGAGGTTGAGAGAGAGACAGCCCCTGTCGATCTCCAGCGTCTCCATCTTGCCCCGATGGTCGGAGCCGAGCTGCTGTCGGACTTCCTGCAGGAGGCTGAGAGGGAGAGGAGGGGCTGGGGTTGCAGCTGAGACACAGCTGGGTGAGCTTCCTATGGACAGAGTGGTGACATGCGAGGGCGGATACTCGTCTCTGGGGACTTGTGTGTGTGTGTGTGTGGGGGGGTAGCCACAACCCCAGAGACTAACCCAGACCCTCACACAGTAAGATACTCGGGGTGGTAGTGGACAGGCTTCTGATCGGTTGGTCGTGACGCCTAGTGCAGGGCCCTGACAAATGTCTTGAGACCCGGACACTGTCCGGGCAATGTTCAAGTGCTACCGCCAAAGGGTGGATTTGCCCGTGGATATAAACATGAGTGGTGTGTAGAAGCCAGCTAGTTGCTTATTATCTTCCATAACTGTGCTCCACATTAAAAAAAAATGTATTTATGGGTGTTGGTATGGTAGGAATAGCATGCTAATCCTCTGCCTGCAGGGTTAGCATCCCATATGGGCACTGGTTCAAGTCCTGGTTGCTTCACTTCCAGTGCAACTCCCTGCTTAGGGTCTGGGAAGGCAGTGGAGGATGGCCTGCGTCCTTGGGCTCCTGCACCCATGAGAGACTTGGAAGAAGCTCCTGGCTTGGGTTGGTTCAGCTCTGGCCTTTGTGGCCACTTGGGAAGTGAGCCGGTGGATGGAAGTTCTTTGTCTCTGCTTCTCTATAAAATCAGCCTTTCTTTTTTTGTTGTTGCTATTTTTATTTTTTTAATCAGTCTTTCAAATAAAAATACATTTTTAAATGTACTTCTGTGTGAGATGCAGAAAATGGGATCTTCTATCTCCTGGTTCATTCCCAGATAGGATCTGGGACTGGACCAAGGACCAAGGCTGAGACAAGGAACTCATGGGCAGATCTCCCATGTAGCTGGCAGCAGTCCCATTGCCTGCGCCATTACCACTGCCTCTTGAGGTCTGCTCTGGCAGGAGCTGGCATCAGGCTCCAGGCTCCAGGGGAGGGTGCTGAACGCAGGCACGCGGTATCCTGTAACTGCTGGCTCAGTCCCCATGTTTAAGGCCCAAGGTCCCTGGGGCCCATGAGCCCTGGCAGCAGGTGCCGCCATCTCCCCCTGCCTTACCAGAGCTGCTCAAAGGCCTGGCCAATCTTGTGCTGCAGGGCCTTCTTGGTGGCCTCAATGACCTCCACCTCTTTGCGCAGCTCATCGTCCACTGGGTCCATCACCACGTCGATGTCTCGCCGGCTCTCCCGCAGGGTCAGACACTCAATGGCCACATCCAGCGGGAGGTTCTTGGCCTGCAGGTTTTGCTCTGCTGATTCCTTCATCTGGAATAAAGAAAGGTCAGGGAGGCTGGTGGTGAGTCCATCTGTGGTGGAGTTACTCCAGCCTGGCTTTGGGGAGAGGGGACAGTGAGGGCCTTAGATGGAGGGCAGGAGGGGGTCTCTGCAATGTCCCGGCACCCAGCCCCTGCTGTGCCTTCGCCAGGGCAGCGATCTCGGCGTCTAAGTCCGTCAGACACTTGTCCAGCAACTCCTTCCAGCGGTTGACCGTGTCGATCCTCTCTGCCAGCCGAGTCCGGTTGTCATGCTCATCCCAAAGGGTCTAGAAGAAGCAGGGGTGTTGGTGGCTTGGGGGAGCCCTTTTCCCCTTGCCTTTCGGCCCACTTGCCAGGGCTCTGTCACCCCAACCTGGTTGTTGGTATCATTGCGGAGGACCCGGGCCTCCTGGCGGATCTGGTGCGAAGCATCCCGCTGCCGCTCGGCGTTGGTGGACAGCAGGTAACTGTTGGTGTTCCAGTCGGACAGCCGGAAGCGCTGGCTGGGCTTGGTGCTCAGGGTGGCCATGGCCACAAAGGGGTCCGAAGCGTCTCAAACCCTCCCCAAAGCCTGGTCCAAGGCAGCACCACCTGCGGGTGGGGGAAGATGGGAGGAAACTGGCCTATAGACTCCCAGCCACCAGAAGCCTCCTGGCTCGATGGCGCCCTCCGCTGGACGCCTTAAGAGACGTCTGCAAGAGGTCTCCTTGGAGACAGCTCTAGGTCCCCTTCCTCATCTCACCCACCTACCCTGGCTGCATCGTGGGGGCCTGGCACAGGGCAAGGAGGTAGCCCCTGGGGCCTAATGTGTGTGGAAGACGGCGTGGCTGGCAAGGGAAGAGTCCGACTCCAGTTCCCACTCGGGCTGCCAGCAAACACAGGTCCCCGAGCTTGTTTTTCTTGCTCCCTCGGGAAAGGGGGGATGGGAGTTGGGCCTCGAGGGCTCTAAGGGATCAAAACACCCAGTTCTTTCATGCCCGAAGCTTTGCGGGACGGAGCGGGCTGGAGCGGGAAACGCCTCCCTGGCTTGCATCGCCCTAGGTTGGGGGAGCAGGAGCCCAGTCCCGCGCTGCGCCCGGCCCCTCCCCGCCGTGGGAGCACGCCCTGGCTCCGAGGTGGGAGGCGGAGGGAGCCGGGCAGCGAGGGAGGCAGGCCGCGCCCCTGGGTCCCCGCCGCCCTGGCCCCTTACCTCCTTTCAGGCTCGCGCGCCGGGCGCCCCCCTCGCCCAGCTCCTTGCCTGTTTGGCACGCCTGTTGCTAGGCAACCGCCCTTCCCAGTGCGCACGGAGCCAGGCCCTATGTTTACCTTGGCAACCGCAGCGTGGGCTTGCGGTACAGCGTCCACAAAAGCCTGTAGGGTAGGAACCAGGCAGCGGGGACCCGCCTGGGGTGGGGTGGGTGGTCTGGGGGGGAGAGGGGGAGTGGACAGCCCAGGGTCCCAGGCGGGAGGAGCTGGGCCGGGAGACTAGCACCTCCTGCCTCTACGAATGAAACATCTGCGTTTTGAGAAAAGTTCTGTCACCGTGATGGTAGATGGGACTGGGACTTAGGAAAAGCGAGTTTTCTGTTCAGGCGCGCCGGCCAAGTGCAGGGCACCTTTCAGAGGCGAATATTCTCGGGGGGTGGGGTGGGGTGGGCTAGCGTTAGTCACACATTGCTCCCATCTCCCTCCCACCATCCTCACATTCTTGAAGGGAGTCAGGAATTGCTCATTCCTAGGGCAGCGAACTGAGGTCTTAGAAGCAACCTTCAAAATCCAATAATTTCTCTTTTTGTTGTTATTTATTCTAAGATGTATTTACTTACAAGGCAGGATGATGGGAGAGAATATTGGGGGGGGGAAGACACAGAGAGACAGAAAGAGAGAGAGAGAGAGAGAGAGAGAGAGAGAGAGAGAGAGAGGCTGATTCCATCTGTCCATTCATTTCCTAAATGCCCGCAGTAGCCAGGGTTGGTCTGTCCCCAGCTACTTCATTAGGGGCTCCCATGCCCCATGCGGTGGCCATCTCCTGCTGTCTTCCCAGGCACATTAGCAGGGAGTTGAACAGGAAACAGAGCAACCAGGACTAGAACTGGTGCTCTAACAGGGGGTGTTGGCTTAGCAAGCAGAAGTTTAACGTGCTGCACCACAGCCCAGTCAGTGCCTCTACCACTTCTTCAAAAAAGAGGAAAAACTCACCCATGTCTGCCGGCTCAGTGCTGTCTGTGCCTCGGGAAATGTTCACATTGGATCTTGAAAACTGTTATGTGGCTGTGGGCAGGACTGTATGTTGGAGAGGACAGAGGGTCTGACTTAGGAGTGGAAATGTCAGGCTTAAGAGGCCCAAGCTGTTGTGGGAACGCTTTGGGGGTTCGTGCCCCTGCTGTGCTTCCCTTCCAGGTTCCTGTCTCTTGGCTTTGACCCGACCCAGTCCCACCATTGCAGGCAGTTGGAGTGTGAACCAGTGGATGGGATGGGAAGTCTGTCTCTCCTTTTCATATGAGAGAGGAAGAGGCAAGGGGGAAGAAGAGAGGGAGAAAGAGAGAAGCAGGATGGACACCCAGGTAGATGGCCTTCCATGGGGGTCTTCCAGGTGAGACACAGGGCAGTGAAGAATGGGGTCAGGAACACAGAACTGACCAATGGAGTCACACCTGGGCAGCCTTGACCCTGAGGTCAAGCTCAGGTGTAACAGATGAGGGAAAATTGGCCCTCAGCTTTCACACCTTGCTACCCGGCAGGAAGCAGGGGTTGGCCTCTGAGGAGCTGCAGGTGCTGTGTGGTGGAGGCAGGGGCTGTCCAGCAGGCAGGCCGCACCCCCAGCCTGAATTCCGGAAGGCTGAGGTTCGTCTAACACAGGTTCCCTGGCCTTCTCCACTCCTCCGACCACGTCTCATCTAGCAGACATGCGCAGTAGTCTGTGGTGTAGCTCCTTCACTATGCTTAATGGGAACAGGGATGGGGGCAGGCCAGATCTTGGACAACAATGGCTGGAAAAACACACACAACTTTGACTCCCGTGTTTTTAAATGTTTTCCACCAGAAACAAGTAGCAAGTATGGTGGTAGTGCGATGGCTTGGGCGTGTACCTCTGATTGCGGTGTTAGTCCTGGCATTCATGGCTTGTGAGGCTTCCATGCACAACCCGCGAGGGAAGAAAGCTCTAACCATGAAGGTGAACTACCTGACGCATAAGGCCAAGAAAGAGGGGGTCATCAGAATGAGTACCAGCATGTTTCATCACTACGTGTTACAAGCGCCAAGCAACTACTCTATGATTGTGCTGTTCACCATGGGTGATAAGCTCATGATGTGTTCCCTGTGCACGCAGGCTGCCAAAGCATTTCAGCTCCTGGTCAGCTCCTGGCAGCACCCCAGTGCCTTTACAACCAAAGTGTTCTTCGCTTTAGTGGATTACAGGGAGAGCCCTGAGGTCTTTCAAAGGTTCCAAGTGAGAAGTGTCCCCAAGTTCTTCTACTTTCCTGACAAAAGGATACTGTCCACAGATGACATCCTTCACGTGGGTGAAAAGGGCATCACGGCCGAGCAAATAGCCGAGTGGGTGGCCAAGAAAGTGAAGGTGAACATCGCCATCAGACAGCCTGTACCCTACGGCCGCATCACAGCGGGGGTGCTTTTGGTCCTGCTGGGCGGCTGTGTGCTGTCCTGTCGCCGCAGTCGAAAGCTGCTCTGCAGCAACGTCTTCTGGGCAGTTGTGGCTCTGCATTTTGTGATCGTGATGACATCCGGCCTAATGTGGGTTCAGATCCGAGGGGCGTCATTTGGCGAATGGGACCGTTACACAAGACGGATGCGTTACGTTGCCTGGAGGAGTTCCGTACAGTTTATCCCAGAAACGTACCTCGTCTCTCTGCTCAACATGTGCGTCACCCTGGGCATGGTGCTTTTGGATAAAGCTGCCACGTGTCGCTGGGGCGCCGTCAAGACGACGGCGATGTGTGTGACTGGGATGGGCCTCATCGTGATCTTCTTCGGCTGCTTGCTCTCTTTGTTTAAGTTTAAGCAAGCTGACTATCCGTACGGTTTTACCATGGATTAAAAAGGAAAAACGAGTCACAGAGTGGAACAAGGCATTGGAAATCATGGGAGACACGATCCCTCCCAAGGAACACAAAATGTCTTGATTGAAATAAATCACAAACCTTCAAGCTTTGTCCAAGCATTATGCTTGTGCAGCCTGTGGTCTTAGTTTTTCTTCCTGGTAAATTAATTTTTTTTAAACATTTAATTTATTTTTATTGCAAAGTCAGATATACAGAGAGGAGAGACAGAAAGGAAGATCTTCCGTCCGATGATTCACTCCCCCAGTAAGCGCAACAGCTGGTGCTATGCCGATCCGAAACCAGGAGCCAGGAACTTCCAGGTCTCCCATGCAGGGTCCCAAGGCTTCGGGCCATCCTCGACTGCCTTCCCAGGCCACAAGCAGGGAGCTGGATGGGAAGTAGAGCTGCTGGGATTAGAACTGGTGTCCATATGGGATCCCAGCGCGTGTAAGGCAAGGACTTTAGCTGCTAGACCACGGCACCGGGCCTAATTTTCCTGTTAATTTTAGATTTACCTGTTAGTGAAGTGTATTATTCAAAATTTTTTTCTAAAAAAAGATTTATGTTACTTAGAGTTTCAGAAAGAGAGATAGGGAGAGAGAGACAGTGAGACCTTCTATCTTCTGGTTCACTCCCAAAGTGGCCACATTGTCAGAGCTGGGTTGATCTAAAACCAGGGGACAGGAGCTTCCTCCGAGTCTCCCACAGGAGTGCAGGGACCCAAGGACCTTAGCCATCTTCTGCTACTTTTGCAGGCCATAAGTAGGGAACTAGGTAGCAAATGGAGCAGCTAGGACATGAACCAGCACCCAGATGGGATGTTGGCATCCCAGGCTGCAAGCAGGGAGCTGGATGGGAAGCAGGGATGCCAGGATTAGAGCAGGTGCTCATATGGGATCCTGGCACGTGCAAGGCAAGGGCTTTAGCCACTAGGCTAATTGTACCGGGCCCTGGTGGCAGATTCTTTAGAGAATTTGTGGGTTCATTCCTGTGGGACTGCAGAGCCTCCTGGGTTGCATGACAGTTGTACCTGGTGAGGGCCGATGTGCACCTGCCAGCACATGCAAAGGCTGGGACCTGGGGCAGACTATGCTGGGCAGGAGCCTAGCACTTGCTGACACATAGGAGATCTGGGCTGGGAGTGAGCCTGGTGGGGGAACTTCGGGAACTCCTGTACAAGGCTAGAGCTCCCACCCGTGAGCACAAGAGTCAGGGCTGGGGGTGGGCCAGGCCAGGTCAGGCAAGGTGCAGTATGTGTGTGGGTGGCTCGGGGGCCAGGCTGGGCTGGGCCAAGCTATAGCACCCACTGGCATTATTGGGAGCCAGGATGGAGCTACACCAGATTAGGCTCCTGCACTTGCAGTAGTGAAAGTCAGGGATGGCGGCAGGCTGGGCAGGCTGGGTGCTGGCTCAGTGGCTCAGCAAAAATCTTTCTTGACTTTAGAAATGATGCATTCATCATAATGGCTCACAATATATTTAAAAATTTATTTTCTAAAAGATTTATGTATTTTTATTGCAAAGTCAGATATATACAGAGAGGAGGAGAGACAGAGAGAAAGATCTGTCTGATGATTCACTCCTCAAGTGACCACAATGGTCAGGGCTGCACTGATCTGAAGCCAGGAGTCCAGATCCTCTTCCAGGTCTCCCACGTGGGTGCAGAGTTCCAAGGCTTTGGGCCATCCTCCACTGCCTTCCCAGGCCACAGGCAGGGAGCTGGATGGGAAGCGGAGCTGCCGGGATTAGAACCTGTGTCCATATGGGATCCTGGCGTGTGCAAGGTGAGGACTTTAGCTGCTAGGCCAGAGCACCAGGCCCTAAAAGTTAATTTTTTTGAAAGGCAGATATACAGAGTGAAGGAGATACAGAGAGAAAGATCTCCCTTTTCCTGATTCACTCCCCACCCAGCCGCAGTGACTAAGCCTATCTGAAACCAGGAGCCAGGAACCTCCTCCAGATCTCCCACGTGGGTACAGGGTCCCAAAGCTTTAGGTCATCCTCTGCTGCTTTCCCAGGCCACAAGCAGGGAGCTGGATGGAAAGTGGAGCAGCCAGGACATGAACTGGTACCCACATGGGGATCCTGTCACATGCAAGGCAAGGACTTACTTTAACCACTACGCTACCAAGTCAGACCCCCAATAATAATTTTTTAAAGTATTTATTTGAAAGGGAACATGACAGAAGGAGAGAGAAGAGAGGGAGGGCTGCAGCATCCAGGGCCGCAGGGCCCTTGCAGGAAGCTTCCCAGGGTACACCTTGGCAGGAAGCTGGAAGGGAGGATGGAACTGTGAGAATCCCAAGCAGCAGCTTCAGCCACGGCCCCAATCTCACTCATTTCCTAACAACACCTGCAAGGGTCACCAGGTCTTCCCAGCTTAGGACAAAGTGCCAAAGGCTAACACACCTGGAACACTGGAACCGAGGCTTCCACATGGCTACTCTCAGCTCCCTATCCCTGCGGAGTTTGGAGGAATTAACTCTGACGTCATTGTTGACCCAATCCGTCTACTAGAGCATATTTGTGTTTCTAACTTTTTGTTTTTAATATTGCGTATATGTAGTTGAGAGGGCTGCATGCCCATGTGAGCCTCTGATTAGGGTGGGGAGGGTCAAGTGTGGAAGCAGGTGGGTGAGATGAAAGTTTTTTGTTTTGTTTTGTTTTTGCTTTGTTTTCTTTTGTAGTGCCCACGGGGGAGGGGATGGGGGAAGGGGCTGCTCCTTGCTGATCAAACTATATCAGCACCTGGCAGTGGGGGGCAGTCCTTTAACGAAGCCTTAGAGACCTTGAGGAGGGGAAGAGTGTTCTGAGGATGTTACTTGAGTGGCTGTCATAGTTCTGAGATGTTGTCAGTTTTACTGTACCAGGGTTGAGAACATCTTTCTAAGATCTACCGGTTAATAAAGTCCACCTTAATGCATCCACAGACCCAGGAACATGCTGCAAAGCTTGCCCAGGTGAATTGTCCAACAGGTTCTGTTTTCCATCGTCTAATAGGGCAGTCGGTGTCCCTTGCTGGCCCAGATGTGTTTATTTGAAAGAACTACATAAAGGGAGATACAGAGAAAGATCTTCCATCCACTGCTTCACTCCCCAAACGACCATAGTGACTCAGGCTGGGTCAGGTTGAATCCAGGAGCCTGGAACTTCATCTGAGTCTTCCATGTGAATGCAGGGGCCCAAGAATTTAAGACTCCTTCTGCTGCTTTCCCAGGTGTATTTGCAGGAAGTTGGATCAGAACTGGAGTAGTTAGGACTTGAAATGGGAACCATATGGGATGCTGGCATATCAGACAGCTAGTCAGAATGTCAGCCCTCTGGAGCATATTCTTACTTTTAAAAAAAGATTTATTTTAATTGGAAATGCAGATTTATAGAGAGAATGAGAGATAGAAAGTTCTTCCCTCCCCTGGTTCATTCCCCAAGTGGCCTCAATGGCTGGAGCTGAGTTGCTCTGAAGCCAGGAGCTTCTTCCGGGTCTCCCAAATGGGTGTGAAGGCGTTAGGCCATCCTCTGCTACTTTCCCAGGCCACAAGCAGGGAGTGGGTGGGAAGTGGAGCAGCTGGGACATGAAGCAATGCTCATGTGGAATCCTGGCACTTGGAGGTGAAGGATAGTTGAGACATTTCAGTGGCCCCTGGAGCATTTTGTTTAAGTATTCAGGGATAGAAGGAATGCAAGCAGCATTTGAATTTTGTTGCATACATGAGCTATTTCTGCTTCATTTTTCAGTTATGGTTCCTCTGCTGCCCTATCATTTCTATCTTCCCCGGAGCATCAAGTAGTAATCACTACACTTATGGAAGAACTGTGACACTGGTGGACAGTAATTACAGCTTTATGTTTATAAGATTACCATCCACACCGTTTCATAGCACGATTATACTCTACTCAATCAGAATAGCCCCCCGAATTAGCACAAACAGCAACTTCACATGAATTAAGATTTAAGCTACTATGCTACGGCCTAAAAGCTTTTTATTTTTTAAGATTTATTTGAAAGTTGGGTCTGGCACAATGGCTCAGTGGCTTAATCCTCACATTGCAAGGATCCAAGATGGGCACTGGATCATATCCAGACAGAGAGGAAGATTGTTCGTCCATTGATTCACCCCCAAGTGAATGCAATGGCCGGAGCTGTGCCAATCTGAAGCCAGAAGCCTCTTCCAGGTCTCCAACATGGGTGTAGGGTCCCAAAGCTTTGGGCTGTCCTCTACTGTTTTCCCAGGTCACAAGCAGGGAGCTGGATGGGAAGCAGGGCTGGTGGAATTAGGACTGGCACCCATATGGGACCCTGGCTTGTGTAAGCTGAGGACTTTAGCTTCTAGGCTACAGTGCCAGGCCCAATGAATGGGTACATCTAATTTTTTTTCTTCCGTTTGTCAAACTTACCACTTTTTGCAAACCGTCATTTATTAGCAGCTTACTTATGCTTTAGTGTTATGAGCCATGGAACATGACCAGTATTGCTGGGACTGTGCAGACACGGGGGACAGCAAGCAGGGAGAACAACGGGTGGTGGTAGTGTTGCTGCAAACATATCAGAAAGAAGGTACAACACTTTCTCTGATGTTCTCGAGAACCTATATAGGGCAAACTAACTATAAAGGGGAATTAAAAAATATAAACAAGCTGGAGGGCCTAGTCACCCCTAGGGTTCGGAATCATAGCACAGTGCTTAGCCTGCCCTCCCTACATCAGAGCGCTCAGATTGAAGTCTTGCCTCTGCCTCCTAAGCAACGTTTTGCTAATGTGCATTCCAGGAAGCGGCAGTTGATGGCCAAATGCTTGGGATAGCTGCACAGAGTTCCTGGTACCTGGAGCCAGTCTGGCTCAGCCCTGGTTTTATTGCAGCATTTGGGGGAGTGAACTTGTGGATGAGAAATCTCTTTCTCTCAATCTCCCATTCTGCTGTCACTCTTTCAAATAAAACAATTTTTAAAAACCAGTGGCTTGCAGGAAAGCAGCATGTCCTCACAGGGATTCCTGCGTTTGTTGGAGCCCTCATCTCTTCAAGATTGCTTTGTGCCCAGCAATGGCACACAAACAGCTCTGCAAACCCAGAAGAGGAGCTCTGGCTATGGAGTCTGCCTCAC